CCCAGGTACATTCTAGAAAAACCTAGTAGATACCCTAAACCCTAAACCTGCTGAAGTCCCAGGCACATTCTAGAAAATCCTAGTCGATCACCCTAAACCCTAAACCCTACACCGCTGAAGTCCCAGGTACATGGTCTACGGCAAGGAGGGCGTCTTCGATGCGGACCGACTCATCGACCTCCTCCGAGCTCTGGAGGTCGGCGAGAAACTGCCCATTAAACTTCCCCCTTAAAAGCCCGGGGTTTAGGGCTTAGGGCTGAATTAGAGCTTGAGGAGCTCCTTAAGGCCCGGGGTTTAGGGTTGAGTTAGGGTTCAGGGTTTTATCAGAGTTTAATCTTCATGCTTCCTTTCAGTTTACCCTAAGGCTCATAATGGCCGAAAAGCCCATATAGTATGGTCTTTGGGCCCAAGAGCCTTAGAATATGAGTGCTTAGAGCCTCAGGCTTAGGGTTTAGGGCTTCGGGCCGCAATATCCCTATTTACAACCCCTGTTCTGGGAAAGGGGCTTGGTTGTCAGGGGTCTACATGGGTAGTTCTGCAAATTGCGATCCCAAAGTAGTACGGCACCCAATTTAAAAGGAGCCGAAAAGAAATCCTCATTTAGTGAACTACCCATATAGACCCCCAATAAAAAGCAAAAACCGCATAGATCCCTTTAAGGAACCCCTGAAGGGACCCTAAGCCCTTACAGATCCCTCTAAGGAATCCTAAGAGGGACCCTAAGGGCTATGCTTAAAAGGGAGCCTTTCGTGGCCTTGGGGTTACTGCTGAGGCAAGCACCGGGGACTGTGGGCTGAGGGGCTTCAGAATTGGTTCAGGGTTTAGGGGCTTTGGGGGTTTATAGTGTAGGGGGTTAGGGGTTTACGAGGTTAGGGGTCTAGGGGCTTACGGTTTAGCTCCAAACCTGGCATCAAACTCCAACAATTACTGGGCTTTCGGATTGGATTTGTGCGAGCGTATGCGAGCGTGTAGGTTGCCGGCCGTGTGTCAGGCCCCTGAGCCTGCTATTTGGGCACTTGGACTTTTCAGGGTAGACAGAGTCATTGAAGACACCCGTCGCAAAGTCTTCAAAGGATGATGACGATTTGAGCGCCTTGAAAAAGACGACACGCCAGAAGAAGTTCGGTGTCCAGTTGCCGATGGAGTTTTCCTACAAGATGAGCGACAAGGAAAAGAGCGATGTATCAACTGCCAAAGACAAGAAACAGATGATGAAGGTGCTGAGCAAGTTGATGACCTCCTACAAGCACCTTTCCCACAAAGCCCATACGGGTTTTAGGGTTTAGGGTTTAAGTTTCGTTTAGGAGTTGTTGAAGGCTTATAGGGGTTCGTCCAAAGCACCTTTGCGGCAGGCCTTCCGCCTCACTGAGAAGGCCGGCCTCGAGGGGAAAATTTCTACTGTTCCTTCAAGGTTTCCGTCTTATGCATGGCTTATAGGGCTTTGGGCTTGAAGGCTAAAAACCCTAAACCCTAAAGGGTTAATAATAATCTTGTTAATGCCACAGAGGCCTCGTTCAGTTTCGCGCTTGTGGGGGCTGGGATCTATATGGGCTACGACACAATGTTTTGCAGGACTTGTTTAAGGGCATTTAGGCGTTGAGGTCGGGACGGATATGATTGGTTACTCATTAACCCGCAACCCTAAACCCTAAATCCCACGAGGGTGCAAGGCAAATTCCCTTTCCGAAAGTCGGGTTCCGTTGAGTTCCATGTGTGCAAGGAGGAAAAACGGGTCATAAAAACTAGACCCTAAACCCTAAACCCTAATGTATTTCAGACCCGTGTGTTGGGGTCTGAGTGTTTACGGCAACTGCCTGAGCAAGAAACGCTGAATTCGAATTTCGCGAGAAATAAGTTCCATAAATAATGATCGCCTGGTTTAGGGGTTTAAGGCTTAATTAAGGGTTTGTAAGGGTTCAGGGTTCAGGGAATGGCCTGTGTAGCAGAACCTCACTGCGCCATGCATCTATAATACATACAACTCGGTAGAACCACTCACACTCACAGCCTAAATCCTCGCGCGCGAAACTTTGACAGCGCTTGCCTATGGCATGGTCTACATGTGTCTTTCTAAAGCGAGTCGGCTCTTCGACTTGCAGCGGCAGCAGGGAGTAGTCAGTAGTATCGGGATCCGTAATTCACCTGCACTTCGTGGTGGTTGTTACAGCAGTACTCCTACACAAGATGGGGCGGCTGCCCTAGCATGGTACGGATCGAGACAGCTAGCTTTCTTAAGCGACTGCTGTACATGCCAAATTTCTTTCCCAAATCCCACAAGGCCTAAACCCAGAACCCACAACCCCGTTCGCCCATAGCTTCATGAGCCTAGTAAACCGTAGCCCTCAAGCAACCCTAACGCTAAACCTTACGGACCCAATGTAAACCCAAATCCCCAAACGCTGCTGCACTACCAGGCACCTGATCCTGAGGAGATCGCACGTGCAGCAGCCATGGCACAGGCCATGAATTGCCTTGACTTAAAGTTGGTGCAGGGTTTAGGGCTTTAGGGTTCAAGCTTTAGGATTTAGGGTTTAGGCTTTATAGAGTTTAGGCTTTAGGGTTTAGGCTTTGGGGCTCAGGCCTTTGGGTTTAGGGTTTTTCGAGATACGGTTGAGCTCGGGTTGAGATAAGTCGGGTTCAGTTTTTGGGGGTGTTGGGGTTCTGTTGTTCCGTGGTTGAGGGGCGCTTGGAGTTTCGGGATTCGGGTTTAGGGCTTTGGTGGCTGAACGAAAAGGACAAAAGTTGACAGACAATATGCCCCTACGATGCAGTATAGTGAAATCCCCCATCCAGTCATGATTCAGCCATGTTGCAGCCTTCCGGAGTTTACTGCGGCATGAAGTACCCAACCCTCTAACCCCCTATTCTAGATGCTTAAGCAGCTGAAAAGGCTGCGCTTCCTCTGAAGCCCTTTCCATATCCCACATCCACCCTAGACACTCAACACCCTAAAGCACTCTAAGCAGGCGCCAAGCCCTAAACTTCCTAAAAGTTTTGAAGAGTCTGATCTCGAGGCCTCCAGCCAGGGTGCTGGCCTAGTCCAGGACAGTGAGCGCACGGTGCCTCGGTTTCACAGTCTTTGTTTTTTTTGTTCCGGCTTCCTGCAAGTCCTGTCTATGGGTTCCGTGGAGTTTGTTTATGGCTGTTGATGGTTTCCTTTACAAAGTTTGGCAGTGTCGGGTTAGGGTTTCAAGGTTCAGGGTGTAGGGTCAGGATGTAGGATCCGTCAGCACGGGGTGTTGAGGGGTAGAGTCGCGTTCTGTTGACCCAGGTCACAAACCATGGAAGATTCGGGGCGTGCGCGTTTGGGTTTGCGCCTTGGGCTTTGGGGTTTAAGCCAGTGTATCGCTTGCAACGCGTACGTTACTTGTTCGCCAAATTGTAACCCCCAAGCCCACTGTGGGTTCTGAGCGATATGCCCAACAGCCATCAACCATAAGTTGTACGAGGTACTTTGGCAACTACACCCCCACAACCCTCACAACATTCTATTCTACGACTCGCCGGGAGTGCTTCTTCGGGATACTTGTTCCTGAAACCCCTACCCTGAACACTGCAAGCTCAACCACCCTGAACCCTGAAAAGCTCATATTGTCTCAAAAACACCGAACCGACTGAACCCTAAACCCTAAACGCAAAGCCCTTGCACCAGTTACTGTGCATCCGAGGACACGAAGGTTCGGCAGGCCGGAACTCTTTCTTGAGGGTCATCAGTGTCCTCCCATACTGGCTTAATGGTCCTTAGATAATTACAAGCTCAGATGTACTAAGCCTTTGACCATTTAGGGTGTATATTGTTCACATGTCTATGCTGCCTAGACACAATTATGTGCTGTTGTCTTCCAGAACAGCAGACCTCAGAACTTTAGCTAAATGCGCTGAAGATTGTGATCCAAGGTGCACTCCTTGATTGAAGGGAATAGGGCTCTGAAGCCCTCGACCCTAAATCCCAAGCCCTATACGGTCTGAAAAGGCACCCAAGGGAATCTCCCAAGCCGCATAGGTCCCTGGCTAAACCCCAAGCCCTAAAAGCCCTCCCTCCCCGGTAAAAAATCCTAAGCTCTAAACCCTAAACACTCAGCCCTAAACCCTAAGCCATAAAATCTTAAACCCTAAACCCTAAACCTTAAACCCTACACCACAAGCCTGGGATCAGAGAGGCTCAGATGTCCTCGGAGAGGGTTGGCGACCGACCGACCTCCTGGGCCCAGGCACAGAGAGATCTTGGGGATGGGCTGTTGAGGGTTTCAGGCGGTTTAGGGCTTTGGGGTTTAGGGCTTTGGGGTTTAGGGCTTCGGGGCTTTAGGATTCAGGGCTTTAGGGCTTCGGGTTCAGAGTTGAAAATAGGGAGATTTTTGGCCGGTTGAGGGCATCTATTAGGGATTGTGCATTCGGGCTCCAGGGTTTTGGGGCTTCGCGGGCTTCGGGATTACAGGTTTCGTGTTCAGGGCTTAAGTTTTGGGTTTCAGGTTCGTGGTTTAGGGTTTTTCGGGATTAGTTTCTAGCTATGGGGTCTTGAACTGAGTTTGGGCTCGGTTGGATGTTCAGGGCGTTGCTGCTCTTATTCGCGGCTGCCGTAGAGGATATACTAGGAGTGTATCATGATTTTGGTGTTAGGGTTTAGACCCTGTTGTCAAGGCTTTTCGCTAGGGTTGTGTGCGCTAGAAGGGCGTTGTGTTCACTGGGTTTTTACGGGTGTACCTACATCTTAAAAAATAGTGCTTCTTGATCGGTGCTTCATCGTGTGGTCATTGTGTTTATTTGATTTCGTGGCTCCTGATTGGCTGTCTTTATCCTATCTTTCTATCTCTCCCTCTCTATATATGTATATTTATACTGTGTATATATATATATATATATATATGTATGCGTTGTCAACACTGAAAGTAGAGATTTATTTGGCTATGAGCTTTGTTCGAGGTTTGAATCGTGTTCTATACTAACACTCTTCTTGCGAAATTTGGGGTTGATGGCCCTCGCTGTCTTCTTGTTGATCCGAGCTGAGAAGTCCTATGGCGGAAGTAGATTAAAGATTTTCCGGTATACTTTATAAACCCGAAGTCCTAAACCCTAAACCCTGTTCCTCCAACTCCTTCTGCAGCGGCCATGGGTTGGCTCTGTGCCAGCTGCATCACACTACGGTCGCCGCTTGCGGCCCTCTGCCATCGCCGACATGACATGCTGGGCCCGCATTACTTAGCCGGCGTCTCTTCGTAATGACTTCAGACGAAGAAGCCCTGCCCCAGAACCCTAAAACCTAGACTCTACGTCCAAATCTGCTGAATCCTATACAGCCTTCCCCATCTTCCATAGGCCACGGCGAACTCGGACGGCGATGGTGCGCGTGAAGCGCTCACCTTCCTGCTTTCGCCGGATGGAGCGCCACCGGGCGGCAAGGCGGTATGACAGTATGGCTGATAGGCTCAGGGGTTTCGGGGGCTAGGGGTTGTAGAGTGCCTATAGGTATTTATGGCTTCAGGGCTTGAGGGTTCTAAGGTTCATTTTTGGGTGTACCGGAGCTTAAGTTGAAGATTCTCAGATGAAGCCGATGTAATGTTCGGTCGGGGATTCGGAGTGACGGGGTTGAGATGGCTGCTGTAGGTTTCAGAGGGGATGTTGCTTCTAGACTTTCAGAGTTACAGAGTATATGTATATGTATATATATATATATACACACGTACAGGTACACATGTTTGTGGGGAACTGCTGAAATCGACACCTAGTGTTGTTCCAAGACGGTGTTCTGTGAACAAAGCGTAAACGCCAAGCCCCAAACCCTAAACCCTAAAAGCCCTTAAAGCCCTTGAAACCCTTAATTAAAACCCTTGAAGCCTTAAAACCTTAAATCCTAAGCCCCAAACCCTAAGCACGCAGGGTTCAGGGTTCAGACGGTGCAGGGTCTTGGGTTAGGGGGATATGGTTTAGAGTATAGACTCATTATACGGCCTAGATGGTTTAGGGTTTAGGGTTCAGCATTCGTGGTTTCGGGTATCGGCGAAGAGCTCTGAGAAGTTTTCGCGGCCGTTTTCACTGAGACATCGCTCTGGGTCCCTCTATCCGAGGACCCAATGCCTATAAAGTATGGCCCTGAACCCTGAACCCTAAAAATCCTAAACCCCTAAACCCCACACCCCTACACCCTAAACTGTAAACCGTAAACCCCTATAAACCCTAAACCCCTAAAGCCCTAATCCCTAACCCCTTTAATCCCTAATAAACTTAGGCCCTAAGCCCTGAGGAGTCTCTAGCTTCCTGCAGACTCGGCCTAGATGAGCCCCCAGCTCCAAATCCTTTCACTACAGAGGTCTCCGGTTTAGGGTTTAGGGGTTCAGGGTTTAGGATTTACGGGTTTAGGGTTTATAGGGTTTATGGTTTGGGGGTTTAGGGTTTAGGTTTTAGGGGTTTAGGGTGTTTAGGGTTTAGGTTAGCATTCCCCTAAACTCATAACAACTAAGGAATGCCCTTAGACGTGCGTATTCCCCAGACATTCATATTCCGTCTCTATCCCACGCCCCTGTTTCCATGTTTACAAGACCCTATCTCTGGCACTGTTCGCCCAGGTTCTTCCGTCGCTTGGCTTTCCAGACCGCGAAATACCACACTCGGCGCTGTAGGTTTCGGCAAAGGATTTCGGGGGTTTAAGTGCGTATGGTGGTTGAAGAAACGGAGGTTAAGAATTTGTGGATAAGGCTCCTGCAGCATCAATGTCAATGCAGTCGGCAACCATACGAGTGAACAGAAGAGCATTGGGTAAGAATGAGAACGACCGTAGTTAATGTGACGAGAAGGACGATTGGTAGAAACAGCAGCAAGGGGTTTTGGTAGTCGTCGAGTTATTCGTCGCCGTCGCCGTCATTGGCTATGGGTGTCGTGACAAGCTAATGTTAATGTTAACAATGGTTAGAGTGTTCGAGCTTGTAGTGACCTTATGCTGCCACGTCCCCAGGCGACTTCCTGGTAGAAGAGAGCCTTTGCAGCATTCCCGAGGTCGGAAACTGCCAGAGTTCGGACTTGCAGATTCCGTCTGCGATGTGGGTACATGCGTGTGTTTGTGTCTGAGTGTGCGTGCTGTAAATCCCTTTGGTAGAGAGCCCCCCACCGAACCCTCGTTCCTGAGCCCTGAACCCGAAAGTTCGAATCCCCAGTTCTAAACACTGAAGCCTAGATGTTACCACCCTCCCCAACTGGAATCCAAAACAGGTCTGCTGACAGGGTACCCCGATTACGGGATCATCATGGGGAATACACAACCCGACAATATCAAGATCCCCTCTTGGCTCCTCTCTTGTCAACCCACCACCCAACCCTGCAGGGTTTGGGGTGTCCTGAACCCACAGACCGAAACAACTCCAAACACACGGCTGTCAAGGGCACTGGATGCTAGGGCTTTCTAATTTTGTGGGTTTGTAGGTTTTGGGGGTTTAGCTTGTAGGGGTTGGGGTTCAGGGTTTACAAGTTTAGGGTATAAGTCCAAACTCAGGACAGTGAAGGGCATTGACTGCCTCGGCCGTGGTGGTCTGCAAGCCTTGGGCAAGCGCTTGGCAGACACGTCGCCTCTGAGGCGATCGGGAGGAGTATGGCTGAGGGTGTAGAATCCTGAAACAAGGATCTCATGACTATGAGTGTTCTTTCAACGCCCGAACCATTGGACCATGAGTTTTTGCGGGCTACAGGTACCGTTGTACTTGTATCGGGCATCCCTGGGAAATAGTACATTATATGACTACTGATTTCCCCGACATCACTCGGGTTTGGAGAGACTGATGGCGCAGTTTGAGGACGAAGCCCTTAAGCCAACAACTTTGCAGAAAGCAGTACGTAGACCTCCAGCATCAAAAGTGCCACCATTCCTTCAACTTTCTCAATGGGTGCATTCAATCTACCATGTGTAGACGGATGGATGTATGGACGTATGGATGTATCATGGATCTGCATAAGTATGAAACTGAACATAGAGATGTCCTGGTCTCCACGGAAGCTTCAACAGACAACGCCAAGCAGACTGCGACGGCTTCTCCCACCATCAGCACGATGGCTGCCGTTACAGAGATCTGATTCTGATGACCCTAAGCCATGACCCCTTAAGCCGCCCCCAAACTCCTTAAACCCTGCCGAAACCCTAAATTAAATCGGAGACAAGCATGCAACAAATTCCTTCGTAGCAGCGTCGAAGCCGACTCTGCTTTGTCAAGTCCAACAGATTGACTTGAGTTGGTTGGGACAAGGTTTCGGGTTTGGGAGGCTTTTGGGTTTGAGCTTTGGGTGCTTGGGACTTCAGAGTAGTTATATAGGGGCGTACGGTTCAGGGGAACTCCTAATTACTTGCTACAGAACAAGGATCCGTTGACGAAGTGAAGGGCGGCCACATTTCTCGGACCTAAACCTTCAGCCTCAAACTCTAACCCGAACCCCTGTACCGTATACCCCAAACTCTAAACAACACCACTGTACCCAAATCCCTAAACCCACAAGACATGAAAATTACTGCGGCTGGATACCCTCGAAGAAACATGACCAAACGGGCTCTGTCCTAGTTCAGGAACTCTGGGTAAGCTGCCATGAACAAAAACTACAAGAGCCCTTCCATGGTTATGAGCACTTGTACTCTATATATATATATATATATATACACATATAGTTCCTGAAGCAGAGCATGGATTAAGTTACCATTTTAGCAGCTCATGGATAACAAGCAGGCGTTAAGTGTTGTATTGCCTTCAAGAACGAAGCACATGCCTGAACGTATACACAAATCGGCGACCCACATGCCATCCTCACGAACATCGGCAACATAATCCCAAACCCTAAACCTCCAAGTGTGCAAAGCCTCTGCCGCCATCATCAGGATCCGTAATCATCACCACGATGGTACCCTGAACCCAGGAAACTCCTTACAATATCCCTGTGAAGCCTGATGAAGAAACCCCTAAAACCCCTAAAACCCCTAAACCCTACAACCCCAACCCCTAAACCCCTAAACCTCTAAACCCCTGAAATCCTAAAACCCTTCAGGCCTAAACCCGTAAAACCCTCAAGCCGTAAGAAGAGCCCAGTACTTTGTAGGCTTCTGCCTGGGATCGGCCCTGCCCTGCTCAAGCGCCTTGTCACCGAAAGGGCAGAAGGGGTCAGGTCATTTAGGCTTTCGGGCTTAGGGGTTAGCAATTCAGGCTTTCGGGTTTAGGGGTTCAGAGTTGGGGTTTAGGGGTTTAGGCTTTAGGGTTTCGGGGTTTAGGCTTTCGGGTTTAGGGGTTTAGGATCTAGGGTTTAGGCTTTAGGGTTTAGGGGTTTAGGCTTTCTGGTTTAGCAGCTTAGGCTTTAGGGTTTAGGGGTTTAGGCTTTCTGGTTTAGCAGCTTAGGCTTTAGGGTTTAGGCTTTAGGATTTAGGGGTTTAGGCTTTAGGGTTTAGGAGTTTAGGCTTTAGGGTTTCGGGTTTAGGGTTTTGGCTTGGTGGGTAGGTCTATTATAAGCGATGATCTTAGGGTTAGGGCTTAGGGAGTGTATTGTTTTATACGGGGGTCATAAGGTTCGTGTCAGTGTTCCGCAAAGGGCACTGTCATGTGTCTACACGTGAAACCTCTCCGCCCTAAATCGTTGACTCCAAAATCTTGTAGTTTAACAACCCTAAACCCTGAACCCTAAACCTCATCCATGAACGCTAGACCCTGATCCCTAAACCCTAACACACTAAGCCGCTGTTTGTAAGGAGCCCCCTTGGCCCGTTCGGTGACATCTTCGCACCCCCTCTGACGGCGGAAGAGGAGCTTCTCGGCCACAAGAGATCACAACAACATGCTCAGAGTGCTTGTTGGGGTCAGTGGGCCTATCTAGGATTTGTGCTTTAATGCGTGGTTCTATGTTCGGGCTTATCGACCTTGGTGTTTACCGGGCTTTTTGTAGGATCAAGGACTTATGACTGTTGGGGGCACAGGTGTTTTGCAGTTTGGCATTTCGAGCTCTCATGGCTTTACACGGTGGGCACTCCCGAAACCGAGGTGTAGTTGTACAATCACTGGCTCATAGAGATGAAGGGTACGTTCACGAAAAAGGCCAGTAGCATGTATATTCTACCTTGACAATGCGTCCTCTACTCAAGGCTCGATTACATTCCACCTTTTACAAAGCCGGATGCCCGGACGCATATGCACAGGGCTGTACTAACTGGAATGGGCTTCTGGGGCATCTAGATTGTACTAAAGACATCAAGCGACTATACATGGATGCTTCTAGCAATTCCAAGACATCTATAGTACAAGACCCTGTACAGACCCCCATTGAACCCTAAACCTTAATTCCTGTAATCCCCATGTTGAGCCCCCAAAGCTTGCCGGCCATCCAAGGAAAGTGGTTTCTAACACCACGAAGCTCCTGGCAGCCTGTCGAAATGACAGGTGTTTGTGGTATCTGTGGCGGGGTCTGTGTTTGTTTAACCGTACCATCTATGCGTGCGTGTTTGTATGTATGTACGTATGTATGTATGCATGGATGGCTGGATGCCAAGTGTATGAACTCTGTATGTGTACATGCATTAATGCAGTCTGCGCAGTACAGAGAAATGGGAAGTCCAGGTATGGTTTAGGTTGTTTCACAGGGAGAGGTTAAATCGGAAGACCCCAGATAAATAAAGCCCCCTCACTCAGTAAGATCACAGTAAGGAGTATAGTGTTGAGGCCTCGAAAGACGGATATACGAGTAAGGGCTTACAGGCTTCTATTAAGGCTTTCGCCATCTACAGTTTTCGGCAGTTGGGGGATTTCGGCCTCAGGGTTCGGATGTCAAGGGGATTCGGGTGTTCTTCTACTTTATTCTGCAACTCTTGTCACGAAGCATTATTTCCCAGGTTGTGTTTGGGCCTAGTCGACTCTTTGAAACCCTATAAACCCCAGAGCCTTGAGGGCTTGGCTTAAGGTGGCAGTGGCGGATTTTCCAGTGGTTCAGCGGCCGAAGCTCAGAGTTCCGAAGCTTCAGAACTTTGGGCGGGGCGTCAGCTACGAAAAGAGCGACCCGCCGTAGCCCGGGTGTCACGAAGAGTGGCAGGACCCCTGGAGCAAGTTCGAGCCTGGCAGCGGCTTGCTTTCCTTTGGGAGTGACCTAGCCCAAAGGCCGTCGCGGAAGAACGACCAGCAGGAAAGAGCCAGTGGCGGAAAAGCCTCAACGTTTGACGATCTGAGAGGAGATCGGCTGCGGCGGTTTTGGCACGGTTCACCGCGGCCTGCCTGCCGCGGATGCTCGGTGTCTGATCGCAGGTCCAGGTCGCGCTAAAGTGGCTGCATGCCCCTGGCCAGAGCCGTCTCCGAGGACATGATTCGAGAGGTCAGCGACCTCAAACCTCTTAAAGGCATGCGCGATTGACACGCTTCATCGGCATGTCAATTTCACTGCCACCTACTTTTTCAAGATGCATATGAAGGTGTTTTTAGCTCTGTTTTCGGTGGCTTGGATTTGTAAAGGTCGTATAATGTTTGGTTTACGGTGTTTTTGTTCATGGGTTCTTTAGTTTTAGGTTCGTCAAAGATGCAACAAGGAATCTAAAGAGACATCTCCTACAAACTACAGTCCATAGAACAGGACGGTACTCTCCCTATTCAGTTCAAGTAAAGTTTCGGTGAGGGCTTCCTGCAGCTGGTAAAGCCGAAACGTGACGTCCGAAGCCCTCCACACCCCGAGCATGCTTTGATGTTTTTGCTGCAAAGCTCGAAGTACTTAGTACTTACCCAAAGGGGCCAAGTACCAATATAGTAGCTACTTGCTAGATATTTGGGCCACAAGTTATATACTGTCCTATTACTTGGGTGTTATGATGAGACCTTGGGCACAAAGACCATGAGACAAGGCTTGTAGGGCGCTTCAGCGTGCTGCAGGGGAGGGCTTTTCAATGCAGTTCAGAATGGACATGTGGACACCTCCATACAAAGCCCATGAGGACCTGGGAAGGCCCTACTAACTACGGTTTAGGGCAGTTTAGGGTTTAGGGTTTAGGGCTGTGTTTGCAGCCTCTATATACCTTACGCCCAAACCCTGAAGCCGAGTTCTGAATCTTTTCTTACCCGCCGTGCACCAACTGCCCAAGCCCAGGGCCTAGGCCTTCAACCCATCTGGGCCCCAACACCCCCAGCTGCAAAGCCTGAAGCCCTAGCCCACTCCTGAACGAACAAGTGCGAAACCTAAAGCCAAGGACCCGAAACCTTGAAGCCCAAGAACGCAATATAGAGGCCTTAGAATTATAATAGGGCTGTGGGGTATGCTATACTGTAACTATAATGAGGAACCCCCAAAATAGTATTGGTAATGATTTAGGCCCCTCTATCTGCCATGACTTCCTCATTCCACTTGGGGCCCAGGCATTCCTCTTGGGTGATACCGAGCTGATCCGCGAAGGACGAAATATGAGTTGTTTGTTCAGGCTGCACCTGTAGTGGAAAGGACCTGCCATCTTAGAGTTCCTTATTATGATTTCTATATACATATATGTATATAAATATATACAGTTCCTTAAACTGGTACCGGTAGGTTGTTTGGGCCACAGGTAGGGACTTGCCTAGGCAGCGCCTATTTTGGTTGAGGGGTTTCGGTTTCTGCTGTATGGTGGGAAGAATCCGCAGATGGAGAGAGCAATAAGAGTAGTTACTAGCAGTACCGAGCACAAGGCCTTGCAGCCTCATGATTTGGGAGTTGGTTCTCCCTTGAAGCCTTTTATGTACCTGCATGGCTAAAGCTTCCACACTACATGTCTTCCACCACAAAGCGAAGTACCAGCTTGCCAGGACCCTCCTTGTACCCTCAACTAGGGGTATATGGTCCCCAATGGTAGGTATTTCGGGTCCAACAGAGGGTAGATGGAGGGTCTAGGTTCCATCTACATGTTCAGATTGAACGCCGAGCTACAACGATGGAAAGCCTCTCGTGAGAGCGGCCCTGATCGTACAGGGACTGTTTTTGATTAGCTGGATTTGGCGGCGCTGTACGCAGACAGAAATACGATGGAGAGCATCGACCATTCGCATATGTCCTTTGCGGGCGTGCCTGTCGATGTCAACTTGGATCCTTCGTCAAGCGACAGAGTGTCTTCCGAAAGATGTCTTTGAGCACTTGAACTGGATCTTCGTGACGGAAGGCAAGGGCACCTGAGTCACAGCAGCCGAAGACAACACAAAGGAATTGAACGATCTTCCGGAGTCACCCAGAATATTGGGATTACGTCAAAGCCATGGAGGTGCTGATTGACCATGTCACGCAAGGGTGAATGACACAGGTGTTTCCATTATTACCTAGAGAGTTAGTTTGAAGCTCTGCATGCTGGCAATAGTTTCACTGAAGCTCCAAAGTGTAGTAAATAAACCTGAGTGACTAGCAAGAGGATTGCTGAAAGTTCTTCACACACATGAGTTTACAAACCCACAGAGCCTGGTCGAACTATTCAGGCCTCCATCATAAACCTACCGCAGATGCCGTCCCTGGACTAAGCTCCTTCCATCGTCTGATTCCATGGGGCCAAGCGAATAGGCCCCAATAGCGGCATGGTAGCCTATTTCATGGCTACATGAACTTCTACCTAGACGCATCAAATGTAGTTCCTTTTTCATTGTCAAGTTTGTTCAAGAGTGAGGACGCTGCACTAGAAACACAAGGCTGCAGAGGGCTCAGAATACTTTGAAATGTTCCCCCCTTAAGTCCTATTATCAGTGATACGGAAAATCCCTAAGCCCTTATTCTAGTTCTTCAGGCCCATCAAATTCGAGGGCCGAGGTACTGCTAGCCATGAAAGTGGCAGGATCGGTCGCAGATGGAGCACAGACGGTGGCCTCCGTCTTTGCACTCTTCCGTGCCTCGGCGAAGCCCAGCGAAAGCAGCGGATTCGGCCAGAAGGTGCCAGGTGGCTTTAGGGGGTTTAGGTTTTAGGGTTTAGGGTTTAGGGTTTTAGGGTTTAGGGTTTAGGGTTTTAGGGTTTAGGGTTTTAGGGTTTAGGGTTTTGGGGTGATTTCATTTGGGCTGGCACTTGTTGGGTTGAGTAACCCATCTCAGCTTAGCCCTTTTACTGGCCCCGAGGCACAGAAGCTCAAAGACCAGAACCTTAAAGTACGGATAGGCATCATGGGTTTTGATGCAGGGTTCTGGGTCGTAGAGTGCATGAGAGGCTGGAGTGGACGAATTGGGCTCTGCAAGCCGGGGACTCTTGTAACAAGAGTACTAATCTTCATCGTTAAGGATCCTCAGTACAAGTCTGCAGTGAAATACCCAAAACAGTAGTTTTAATCGTGAAAGCCTCTTGCAGTAGTTGGTTTTAATATGTTTTGGGCTCAGGGGGTTTTCAGGTTTGGCCTTAGGGGTGCGCTGTGGTACGTACACTCAAACCCGGGATCAATCGAAAATTTGCTCGAAACTCAAGAAAGTCGATCTTTGCGCTGACTTTTGGCTTTCATGGGGAAGTGGGGTGGGGGTATCAGAGGTTCGAAGCTGAAGATTCCGAGTTCGGGGGGCTCGGGCTTAGGGCTGGTGGAGCTTCGTGGGTCGCCGGGGACAGCGGCGGCCGAAGTGAGAACCAATGACGATTCGGTTTAGGGTTTAGGCACTCCGACCGGTGCACTCCGAAACCATGAACTAAAATCCTACAAGCGCTACCGATCAACCCTGAAAAAACCCTGGGATGTAGATCCAGAAGTAGCCCTATATATGAGACCATTAAACATTATAGATCCAAAAACAGGAGAGATCTAATGTTTTCTACCTAAACGTTAACACCACTTCAGCCAGTAAACATAAGCTCTAAAGCTCTAAGCGCCTGAACCTCAAGCCCCTAAGCCCCAAAGCCCCTAAACCCTAAGGCCGCAATTCCTGCAACCCCAAACCCCGACCAGAAGGCTCCCAAGTACTCGACTCTAGATTCGGGTTTAGGGTTTAGGGTTAGGGGTGCCGTACGAAAATTGAACCCTAATTTAGAGAACTGCCCACCCTCAACTACCAAGCGACAGCACGATTATGAGTAACCCAGCAGGCGCCGAAGCCTATTATTGGACCCTCATTGTATGGCTGAGGACAAAACCCTAAACTCTATACTGAACCCTAAACCCCAAAACCCTAAAACCTGAAACCCTAAAAACTCTAAGGCCTCGAACTTGAAACCCAACAACAATCCGACAACATCAGAGCAAAACTACAACCCGAACTCCTAAACCCTAAACCCTTTCCCTCTGTTGAGGCGAGGACCCGCAGCTGGCGCAGGGAGCCCGGGAGTTGGCGCAGAAGCTCGGACGCCGAGCCTTCGAGCTCGCCCGGGGCCTTAGAAAAGGGAGCCGGGGGTTTAGGATATAGGGTTTAGGGT